GAGAGAGGAGTCTAGCTAGCGAACTTCAAAGACATCTACTAGGTGTTATTCATAGAAGAATAATAACATTGGAAACAGTGCTTTTATATGTGGATAGTCCACCTGGCTCTATATCAAATTTACAAGGTAATACTTGGCTATGCAAATTAGTGATGTAACGGATGCGTTACATCAGAATTTCCGTTATTTAAAAACTTTGAAATTTCAATCGAAAATATAAATATTTTCTACTTGTATTGATTATTTTATAATCAATATCGTATTGATATGCTTTTTTTATTACATTTTTTTTAATTCTCTTTAAACTCTCTCATCTTTAATTGATGTTAAATTGATGAATCGATAATAAACCCTTTTTTTATCTTTACATTAAAGTCCTGAAAACTCTTTGTTCTAATATTGGAAAATTAATTCTAATTAATAACCAGAATCGATGGGATTTTTAAACTGCAAAATGAAACATAATTATATAAATTTACTATATTCATATACTATTCTTATACTTTATTTATTATATAAATTTTTATATAAATTTATATAAATTATATAAATTAACAAGTAAGAATTTGTAAGTATTTCTGAATTTACAGATCTGGACGAATGCGCCTCGTCGGAACTGAACGATTGCCACTCCTCCGCTAGTTGTACTAATACATTCGGCGGTTTCACGTGCTCCTGCAATCCAGGGCTAAAAGATCCACACAAAGATGATCTTAATGAATCTGGTAGAACGTGTTTATCGTGTCCCTCGACCTATTGCAATAATCGCGGTACCTGTTCTTATCAAGGAGACCAAATGCAATGCACGTAAGTAAATACGATCGTGTATGTTCTTATCAAGTGCATTGAAAATTTCTTTTTAATTTCTAGATGCACCGGCAATTATTATGGCGCGCAATGCGAGGTCGATGGCGAAGTCTTGGGCGTTGCTATAGGCGCATCTGTAGCTGCATTAATAATCATAGTTCTAACTCTAGTCTGTCTCGTTATGTGGAGGTAATTATCGTGGAAAGAGAAATGATTTCTTATTACTATTATTATTATTATTATCTACATTAATGCTAGAGCCTAATTATATCTAATCATATCTATGTATTTATTTTGTAGTCGAAAGTGGTCTCGCGAACAAAAGTCTGCAGGTTCCCCAGTGTACGGTTATATTCAAGGTGGAATACCTGGTACTCTTCCAGGTACGATCAATTAGCAGTTTAATATATAAACTTAATCTTTTGCTAATGGATATAAAATCTAAAAACACAAATAATTTATAGGGACTTTAGCAAGGGTCGGTTCTGTAGGCACTCTAGCATCCGTAAAACAAGGACCACCGACGAATTTGCCACCTTACATGTGGGCTCATTTTGGGGAACATATGGCTACAGCAAATCTCTATGCGGTATATATCAACTTTATTAATTAATGTTGGTTTAATGTTAAGAATTATGGGAGATATATGGGAGAATGTTGTATCATTAGAGAAAATATTATGTAATTAATATCGAAATAAAAAGAGAAAAGTAAAAAATAAGAGTATATGCATAACAAAGAATTTAAATGTGTTTGTATGTAAATATATACATAATAGATGACATAAACTTTACCAAGTGAAGAATATTATTGTTTTATATTTGAATAGAGTAAAGTATTCATTTTTTTGATGAAATTGTACAAGTTGAAAGTTGTGTGTGTAATATTTATATGTAAAATAACTAATTTTTCTTATTGCTGTAATTCTACTTATTTATAATAAGATATTAATTGAAACTTATTAAAAATCTTTTCTAAAAGACCGAACCCATGGGCCCTACGCGACCAAGTTCGGCAATGTTCGGTTATCCACCTATGAACGTTCATGGAACATTGCCTCCAGTCCCATTACCACGACTTCAGGCCCCATCACGACCAAGACAGAGACCTCAGCCAGATCCGGATAGCTCGGATTCCGAGCCACAAGATAAGGACAGAGCTGACCTAATTCCTCAGAGCAGCGGTTTTCATGTACCGAGGCCAAAGTCGAGATCTTCATTAGCGGTAAATATCCATTAACTGTTGAGCACGTATTATGTATTACGGTAGACAATAAATTAAAATAAATTAAGTATATGGAAAGAGAACTTATTTTTATGTGAAATTAAATACTTAACTTTAAATCAATGATTGATCCTACAATTAATTTCTCTGAAATTTAATGTTTTTTTTTTGTTAAATTTAACAATGTAATCAAATATCAAATATAAAATGGAAAAAGAATTTAAATTACGTTATAATTTTGAATAAAAACATTATATTGATAAATGATCTTTAATCTCACCATATGAATTGAAGTCCAATAAAAGATAAAAATAAAGGGAAATAAAAAGAAATCCAATAATTATAAAGCTCGAGAGACCGAAAAGAATCAATAATTCTGCAAAGCAATATTTAATCAATTCATATTAAACCATCTTTTTTCCTTCTATCTTTTACCAATTTTCTCTTTATAATATGATTTGAATTCTCGCGACTTAATCCGATCCATAAAAATAATATAAATTATTGTTTAATTATCGTAATCGTAATTAATCGACTGTTAGTTGTATCGACGAAAATTAATTTATATATTTCAGAATCAAAGCGGAATTTATAACGATGTGGAGTACGACCAGGGTGATGTTCATCATTTATCGAAAAACAGTATTCCAATGTCCACTTACAGACCGTACTACAGAACGTGAAATTCACATCGGAGTAGTACATTCGCGCACGCACGTCAAGGGACGTGCACTAAATAACTAAATCGCGAATTTATCGTCTAAAGTGCTCGATAAATAGTGCATTAAGACACGATGCGGTGACGACCGCTGGTGCGAAGTAATCCCACGATAGAAGCTGCGACTCGTTTCAGAGTCGTCTGAGCAAACGTACGAAATAAACGGAAGATTTGCATACGTAGAGTAAAAGCGAAATCTAATCTCGCAGCCGTGCGTATCAAGCGGATTAGATCTTGCTCGCTGTAAAGTCGTGTTCTTGTAGTCACGCGATGTCGTATTTGCGATAGATATTAATTTCTAATGATACACAGATATTTATTATCGAGTTTCATTATTCCAGTTTTAATATTTTGTAAAGTCCGAAAGATCGTTATGTTAAATAATTTTATTAAGAAAGATATGCGATATTGTATGCGGTGATTGCATTTATTTGATTATTTTCAATTAACTGTTTATCATTGTTAGCTCAATACTCAGAATAAGAATAATTTATAAGAACAGATATATCGACTGTTTATGATTAGTTATATTTGTTAAGCAAAAATTAACTGTTGCGTTATGAATATTAAATAATTTAGTACAGAATAATTTAATTTTTATGTTAAGTCATACACATATATTTTAAGAATTTAAGAATATTAATTTATTGAAATCTCTTTGAAAAAGATATACACTAATGGGCAATAAATAAAATTTTTTTTTTTCGTATCATGAGATATTGGTATTTTAATTCAGTAAGCACTCAATGTAATTATATATATTGTAATTATATCTTTTTTAGATTGAATACAAATGTAATTAAAACAACTTTTATTTTACCTTTTTAACTTTTTAATGTATAAAAAACTTCATAAACGTATTAAAACGAGATTAAAAAGCAACAACAAGTAATTAAGTTAGAGCAATGTGTAATTAAAAGTAAAAAATTATAATAATCTTAAAATTAATTATTTACAAACATTAAAAAAGCTAAAAATATAATTTACACAAAATATAATTTAATATTTTTAGAATATTGAAATATGTCACAGCTATATTATATCAAATTATATGAAAGAAGAAGAATAAATTAATAATATGACATTATTAATTAATAATAATAGATAAAAAGTTATTTACTTTCTAATCATGTGGAAAATTAAAGCTATTTCAATTTGATTATTCAGACGATGAAGTCGTCTCGCGCACAAGTCAAGTGCCATCGATCCGCATGACACATACGCGATCTCGAGACAACGCAATGGCGAGAATAAAATATTTAGTCGAGTGAACTCTTCCAACGAATGAACACTAGATACGTGCGTACTGGTGTAAGTAGGAGAGGTGAACAACCTCAATCGATTTCCACAGGAGGAGGCTGTGGTTGACTGCTTAACTTTTCAAGCGTTTTACTCGCTTTTTAAGTTTGCGACAGTCACAAGTTGCGACAGTTCATGGGTTAAAATTTCACACACATTTTAAACATCGCGACGATATCTTTCATCATCTTAACATTACAATTTTATCCGTGCGTTCAACGCGCCAATTTTTTCGCAGAATCTTAATTTCAATCTTAATTTGATATTTTCCGGTTAATTTCGCCCAACTGCGGAAATGATTAATTAAACTGCTACTTCTTTTCCGGAATTTTGCGCTCATTTGGTACTAATAAGCTGAATTTATGTCCAATTAAAATTTTTTAATCAAAAAGGATTAAAAACCAAGGGCGAACAAACAGTTTGCTGTACTCACGCTTTTTATGTGTCTTTTTGATATTTTTGTTCTGCATGCTTCTGAATGCTTAATGGCGCAATTCTTCCAGTCTCTAAAGTAGCCAGTAGGGAAATCTCTCATGAATCACCGTCTCACGGTACAATGTATTTCACTTTTCCTATCTGCGCTTATTGCCGGATATTTTTCCAGACTTATGAGATTGTCTTACATGCTTTTATAGAATCGTAGAACAATTTGACAAATATTATATTACACCATAAGAATCGCAGGGAAAAAAATTTATCTATATGATAAAATGTTGCAGCTAACAGATTCTCATAAAATATCAGATGAATATAATTACTGTCATTTAATTATTATTTTAAGAATAATTATATAAACTGAATGTGAGATAGAAACAAGAGAAAAGTTAAATTAAATACAAATATAAAATATAAATTTTTTACTGTATATTCAACACACTGAGTAATCAAATTGAATTCTCTTGATTGAAAAAATCTTTAAAAAAATGCATCAAATTGATTTGAAAAAAAGGTTGTCGCGATCGGCAAATATTTGTTCATATAAAAAAGATGGCGTTTCCAAAAAAAAAAAAAATACGAGATTTTTTCCAATGAATGTATGTGTGCATGGCGAGTAAAATATGTTCGTTTGTATTTCATTCTCAGTGCATGTCCGTTGCACATTTGTACAGTGATATATATATATACAGACTAAAATATATTTGTTGGAAGCGAGAGGATTACTTCGAAACATTGCTTTCGTTCATGTGCTTCACGCTCCACAATGCCGGGCCACTTCTCTACCATGTTTAATTAAGCTCGAACAAATGTTGGCAATCGTTTGAAAATAATTTTACGGGTTCGCAATATTAGTACAAAACATTTCGTATTGATATTGTTTTTACTAACAAGTTTGTGTGTGTGTGTGTGTGGGGGGGGGGGGGTATGGGTGTGTGCGTGCGTGTGTGTGCTGCTATGTGATCGTCAATCAATTAATATATATCTGTATTTTTGTTATTTATTTGTTTCTGTTTTCTTCACGTTCTTATATAGTTAATTGATTTAGTTTTATTTTATGATCAATGATATTGCTACCACAGTTTGAATATGACATTTGTACATGACATATGTAAACTGGAATATTTTTCAAACTACACGTAAAGCATGCTTGACATTTCGAGCAGGACGATACGCCCCCGGGATAAATTACAAGTTTTATAAAAATAAACACAGTGTCTGGACTAAAGATATCGAATTTCTCTATACGTGCCCATGTCGTTTATAACGTATAACAGACGTTAGCAATAACTGAATCATGTGGTAATGACGCAAACCGACTGTGAATTTTAATCTTTACTGGCATTTTAATCTTTAATTCACGTTTCTTTTTTTCTTGAAGAGAATGGGCGTACATCAATAACAATATCTATCTGGAAAAGAATATTAACATACTTTTAATAACTTTCACTTTCCGTTGTCTCATATGTATATATTATCAAATTTCCGAATATATTTATTCTGTAAATCTATTTTCCCGGGATTTCAAGTACGTATGTGCGTTTTAAATTAATCTTTTCTATTATCTTTGTTAAATTATCTTTGTTTTTGCAAAAAGATATACTATCAAGATGTTGATTTAAAAATTGACACTGCCTGAAACAAAGTCAATTACAAGAAGCAAAATTGCTTTCCATAGTCAAGCATTTTAGAAAATCAATTTTAGACATCAATTTTTAGAGCCAACGTTCCATGCAATTTATTCTTTGACAGGAATTTCATCAAGCATACAAATGCAAAGATCACTTTACGTTCTTTTCGTTCTTGACAGCAAGACCTCGTTTGAATGTCCTTGCTGTAATTAGACGTCAACACTCAATACATTGACAGAATTGGAATGTGCAAGCGAGTGCTCGCATTATGAGCGGCAATCGCCGCCAATATTTTAAAGTGCACTTAAAAGACAAATCGTTTTCTTTTTTTTGTTTTTATCGAAGTATCCGGAGCTATGTCCCGGAGGGGCAAAATAGATTTTCGCTGTCGTTACAAACTATAACTCGATTAAAGTGCGGGCCGCTCGTGTCAAGGAAATCGCTTGGCCGCCGCGTCCTCTATTAACCTTATTGGAGCGACCTGCGCGACAACCTTGCCTTGTAATTCCGTAATCCTATATTGCAACTCGATTCGTGCTAGAAGTTGCTCCTTCATGGATATAGCCATGGCTTTGGTCCGATCTTTATCATTTAGAGCCAAAACGGGACAACGAAGGTGCGAGTATAGAATCTTTGCATGATTTAAATAAATGTAGAAAAGGAGTTCTTCAAATAATGCAAGCACTTGGATTGAAGTAATTAGTATCACTTTAATCTTATGTTAAAAATTAATATAATGAAACTTTCAAAAGAGTGAATGCAGTGAAGCAATCGTAACAGTACAGACGCCATGACTTAACATAAAGAGAGTATATTCTTTGTATTACATTATTTTCAGAATTAATATTAATTATAATTATTATAATTATTAATATAATTTATAACAATGACCTCTTTTTCAATTCTTATCTACAAGTACTTAATTAATTTACTTAATTAATATAAAATAAAAGTAGTTTATTTAAATATGTAATATGTATATATATATATATATATATATATATAATATTTTTATATTTAACATAAGTGAAATTGATATTATTAATTAACTTATGCATACATTCTATTAAATTATATTATCGCGGGAGAAAGATAATCTTTTTAAATCAAAACATCAATTCTTATTAAATTATCCTCGTTTATATCAATTAGAATAATTAATACATATTAGGATGATCGTGGAATTAGTGTAGGGATTTCGAACAATAGTGATCGGTACTAATGACTAGCTCATATGTCAAGGAAATCCTCTTGGATTTTAACCTCCGCCTCTGTAATGTCAGAATGTGGTTAAGCCTTGCGATTTTCTGGGAAACCTTGGTCTCGTTTGTCGTCGAGCAGTTAAATGGAACATAATTTTTGTGAGTACGGAATGTTAATACAGTATAGCTTTAAAATCAAGAATATATAAAAAATATATGTAAATATATGTAAATGTCAATTGGTAGAACTGTAATATTTTTTATTTAAAGCAGATCAAGTTTCAATACAACTTTAGTTTACTTTTCGATATAAAATAATAAGTTTTAATTAAAAATATAGCAAATAATTTTTATATAACTTATTTATATAAAATATACCGTTATAATATCCTAAAAATGTATTATCCAATTTTTTATTCTTCTCTTATTGAACATTTTCTACAAAATTACCATTTTTTTTTATATGTCGATAGGTGAGTCATATAACATTAAACATATGTTAAGCAATATATCGGAGAAAGTTTCGGTCGGTGTTATCGATAATTTGACGAGGGGCGTATGATCAATTTTATTTATAACGCATACTATATGTTCTCTCACTCTTATGATTAATATATCTTTCTAATATATCTGTCGTAATGAAAGAAAAAAATAAAAAATGTTAAATAAAAATTTATTACAACTTAAATAATTGGTAAATAATTATTTATATATGTTTTATATAAAATTGATGCTGTTTAATTCATGTTCAGTAATAATTCTTACTTTGATTATAAATTCTGCTTTAGATAATCTTTAATCGAATTTTCAGAAAAAAATTTTATTTATAATTTTATGTACAATATGTGTGTGTGTGTGTGTGTGTGTGTGTGTGTGTGTGTGTAGTACTA